TCTGAACGTTAATGTTCCAGTTTCCAAAATACAGGAGTATTTTTTCAGTAAGTAAACATGTTCCTAAAGTCACATCTCGATGGCTTTTTTGACATTTCAGTATCTAAGGGCTTCAGCTATCAGATACACCACCTGTTCCCTGGAGTAAAAATAACCATGACTGGAGTAAAATAGATTGTGAGCAGTTAAATACTGCAGAGGAAAATTTTTACTTAAAAAAAAGGAAAATGTGCAGATGGGTGTGTGTATGTGATATCCCTGCATTTCTTGGTTACACTTTTTTAATGTGTCATTCAGATGTCGTTAAACACACGTTTGCTACGAAACCCAGAAGAGGCTTCTTTTCTATCTAGCATGGAAATGATTCTCCTAAATATGTCATCTCTTGTTCTTTCTTTTGTAACTGTAAATGTGACTGATTCATCTGAGGCATGCTACAATTTGGAGACACTGCTGCTTTTCTGTGTTGGAGACCAACTTTGTAGGTACCTGTTTCCTACTCCCCTCTCTCTTTGCCCAGCAGCATTTTTTCAGCTGTAAAATCACAAGCCTTTACATGGAGAGCAGTTGTTTTCCCAATCCATTGAACTTCTCTCCTCCATTGCTGGAGTTCACGTTTGTGTAATGTCCTTTTGGGCAGTTGATGCAAGAAAAGAGAAACTGATAGACTTGTACTTGGCCTGGTGCTGTTGTCAAGTTGAGCACGTGGTGGGAATTTTTAAAGATATCTGAGCAACATAAGACTGTTGAGGTTTCTTCAATTCATTAAGGAATACATAGGAAGATGCGTGTTATTTGGTTTGTTTTGAAGGATCCTGTACCTTCAGAGTAGTTGAATGTGGTGTTGTTGTTTGGTTTTTTTTTTAATCCTGAATCTTTAAATGGAGCAGGTTCCTTATGCTCATCCACTCCCTCCTCCCACAAAACCAAGACTTGTTCAACTTCATCCAGTTATTTCACTCAAGTCAGTTACTTAGGGTTTTTTTTTTCCACACACACACAAAAATCCCAAACCAAACAAACCATCTGAAGATCCTTAGGCTAAGTGTGGAAAACTCTGGACCAAGCTGCTGCTTCAGCAGATGAAGCTCCTGGAAGGCAAGACCATAGCTATGCCTGTTCTCCTCGTGGCTAGTGCAATGGTGGGGTTACAGGACTGAGAAATATTGCAGTCACTTTAGAGCCGTTCAGTTTGTGGTTTCCCAGACAATTCATCCAGCCCACTGCTGCCTTTCCTGGTGGCCCCGTGGCACCCCACTCATCACGCTAGCCTTATGGCAGGCAGATGTGTGATGAAGCAGGGCTGTCTTTCTTCCAGGAGGCTGGCAGGAGACATGGGCTGCAGCTGCCGGAGCAGCTTGGGTCGCTCCTTTCCAACGACTTTCTTCTTTCCAGGGATGAGCCCTGGGAGGCCCAGGTTGTTATGGTGGGCACAGCAATCCTGAGGAGCACACAGAGATTCACCTGCACACAGATGTTGCAGTAGTTTGTCGCATGTGCTCTGCGCGTGGCCACCAAATCTGTCACATCCAGCAAGTGTGGTGTGCCAGGCTCCATCACTTGCCAAGGAAAGTGCTGCAGCACTGGTGAAGCTGCAGGGACTTCCAGGCAGAGCTTGTTGGTGATGCTCTGTAAGGACATCTAGTCTTTGTGTAAGGACATCATTGGTACTGTCCTTCAGTGAGCTAGGGTTGCTGATAGTAGAAAAAAGAAATGCTAAAGCTGTGTTTCCATGCTGTCTTTGATTAGCCACAGGAAAATAACTTCCTGAGCACATTGGGTAAGTTCATGTCCCCTTCGTATCCATTTGTGTTGTGCATCCTCCAAGGGCTTGGCAAAGTTAATTGGTGTGATCTGCAAACGATGAGGGGCAGGAACTGTGTGCTCCCAGCAATCTGAGGGGAAAAGCCCTTGAACTGGCTACATTATGCTCAGGAGATGCAGACAGAGATCAACCTTAAACAACTGTGAAAGGTTTAGTTCTAACTTTATCCTTCTCTCCTAGTGAGTGGCGTGTGAATCATTGCAAAGATTATTTCTTTGGCAGAGGAGAGGAGGGATGTTCTGATGGGATCTCGTGTTTCTCTGCATGGTCAAAACACCCTCGATGGGAAGGGGGCTAAGCAAGAAAAAGTTGCTTCTGTCAGACTGGTGTGGAGTGTCCTCTGCTCGTGACTTACCATGTGCTTTCCTGAATTTAAGCAGCAGGGAGTTGGAGTGAGTGCGGTGGAAGTTTGCCATAAGCAAGGGTAGTTAGTGGTCAGAACACACGTAATTTTGTGTGTTATGTTGATGGTGAACATAACCAGTAAAGCCACAGCCGGATGTTCGCTGGGTTCAGTAGGCTGAGCTGACTTTCCTGGACTCGCTTTAAAACAACAGAGAAGGTAAAATGTTCGGTTACCTGGGAGATTTTTTTTCAGAAGCGCTTCAGGGATGTCGGAGCACCAGCTGTGTGGGAAGTAGACAGAACTTGCGCTTAGTAACTCTTCTGTGACCTCCTCGGAAACTTTCATTCTGAAAAAAGGTCCTTTTATGGCATCCTGCATCTGAGAGGGCATGTCATGGTTCTCCTTAAAGCGTCCAAGCCCCAAAGCCATTTGGCTATAACAGCTGGGTAAGTTTGGTTGGAAAGTTTCCGTAGCAAAGTTGTTCAGAGTTTGGATCTTCAGGTTCTGTCTTTCAGCCAGTAAAGAGTGGGAGACAGCAGACAACAGCTTTGCTGATGAAAATGCGCTATTTTGAATAGGGAGGGAAAGTTTCTAACACCAAACATCTGAAAAGACAAAAGAAAAGTGAGTGCTTGATGGGAACCTTCGGGTGTTACAGTAGGCTTGTGAACAACATTGGTTGTTGGTACATGCTGAGCAACGGGGACAGAGCAGACATTTCCCCTTTTGTTCCATACAATAACAAATGAAAGAATGGCCAAAAAGTATGGCCACAAACTTAGGAGAGTTATGGGAGGATGACAGGATCACCACTCTATGAGTCATCCTCTCAAAAGAAAAAAAAAAAAGGAAAAAAATACCCTACCCTCTCCTCTAGAATGAACTGCTGTCCTGGAACCCACAAGCAAGCTAGAACCAACAAGTCTAGAACCACCCACAGTCTAGAACCAACAAGCGATCTAGAACCCGCTCTAAAACCAACAAACAAGCTAGAATGCAGTCTAGAACCCACGAGCAATCTAGAACATGCTCTAGAACCAGCAACTGAGCTATAGCATGCTCTGGAACCAACTGTCTTGACCCAACAAGTGAGCTAGAAGTTCAAGAACATCTTCCTGAATATGAAGTTGAATACATAACAATCAGGAACCAATAAGCTGCTAGGATGTGCTCTAGAACCAACAAGCAAGCTAGAACCCTGTGGCCAAAATTTAGCTCTGGAGTCCTCAACACAAGAAGGACATGGAGCTGCTGGAATGGGTCCAGAGGAGAGCCACGAAGATGATCCGAGGGCTGGAACACCTCTCCTATGAAGACAGGCTGAAAGAGTTGGGGCTGTTCAGCCTGCAGAAGGCCCCGGGTAGACCTTCTAGCAGCCTTCCAGTACTTAAAGGGGCCTACAGGAAAGCTGGAGAGGGACTTTTTACAAGGCCATGTAGTGATAGGACAAGGGGCAATGGATTTAAACTGAAAGAGGGCAGATTTCGATTAGATATAAGGAAGAAATTTTTCCCTCTGAGGGTGGTGAGGCAGTGGAACAGGTTGCCCAGAGAAGTTGTAGATGCCCCATCCCTGGAGATGTTCAAGGCCAGGTTGGATGAGGCTTTGAGCAACCTGGTGTGGTGGAGGGTTTCACTGCCCATGGCAGGGGGGTTGGAACTAGATGATCTTTGAGGTCCCTTCCAACCCTAACCATTCTATGATTCTACGCTTCCTCTGGGGCTAGTGCAGGCAAAGAAATTCCCTCTACTCCCTCTCGATACACAAAAAATTCTCAAAAAGTTATGAAGCCAAGGCTTGGTTGTTGATTTTTAAAACTAGCAAGTTTGAAACAGAAACTCCTTTTGCTTTTAAATGAGAAAGCTCTTGTTTTGTTGGGTGGGGAGGCTGCTCAGGATGGGTATGTTTCTCTTTCCAGGTTTTTCTGTGATGGTAGTGTCTGCTTAGCTTCAGGCTGATTGAGCAGCATTTAGTATGAAAATAATCCACTTTCTAAAAACATTTAGAAAAGTACATTTTTTTGAGGGAAAAAAAACCCAAACCGTAGTACTTGGTTCTAAGGGTATGATTTGAGAGCTACTGGCACATACGCAGGACTGCATACTCTTTTACTATTGCCCTGAAAATTAGTGAGAGAACTACTTGCAATGTTAAAGTTTATTTAATATTTTGTAGTAATTTGGAGTGTTGTAACATTACTGGTGTGTGCCTTAATGGTTCTATTTTAGATACACCTCTGAAGAAATGTATCCATCCAGCATGGGAAGTGTTATGCAATAGTAGAAAAAAGAAAAAATGCCATCTGTGTTTTACAGCTGAGCATCTGTCTTCAGCTTCTGCTGAGTTGCCTGAAGCAAGACATACTCAACCTGAATTAACCGAAGCAGACTTTGAAGTCTTGAGAATTTCTATGATCGTTCTGAAAGGTTTTGTAAGCTCTTGAAAATATTTGGAAAAATAACTTGACACTTGTTTTGTAATTAAACACACGCTTGTCAGTCTCTGTGCCTAGAAGCTTGCTTTGTGTAATTGCTTTAGGGATTCATGAGTCTGTCCTTGTTTGAGGAGAAGGTGAGATAAGGTCTTGCTTAAAAAAAATAAAAGTAAATAAATAAATAAGGACCTGAACAGCCTAAGTAAGGTGGAATTTTTTCTGTACGCTCGTTAAGAGACTGTGTGCAACTTCTTGCTGTCGACTTATCAAAGCAGAACGGGGCTGCTAGGGAAATCCCAAGTCTTACAGCTGCCGTATACCAGGAGAGATGCTGTCAGTGTGGACATGTGTGGTTCATCATGCTTAACTGGCCCGGTGAGACGGAGCTCGTGGACATGTACCTGCTGGCGGCTTCCTTGCAGGTGCTGCTCTCCGCTTGCTCTGTGCGAAGGCTTCCAGCACGATGCCGAGTACCGTTCATAATCCAGAGGCAGTGATTCCTTTGTTTTCCCCTTCCTAGTTGCACTGGCCACTGACTCAAAGCCTAAGCTACTTTGCTAGAAAATGCAGTGATTTCTCCTGCACACATCAACTGTTTCTCTCAGAAGTGGTCTCTGCACCACTTGACGCAAGCTACATGCTGATTCCCTCCGCCATCCCATAGATGCGTGCTCCCTGTGCTCTTCTGTGTGCAGGAAGCAAATAAACACGTTTTCCCTTCCCAGCACATCCTTTCTCTTTTCTCTAATTGTTGTGATCAATATATGCCTTAGGCTAATACTTTGTTTGTCTCCCTGTGCTGTTTGGGAGTAGAGGGATGAGAGTTCCATACTAGGTGTTCCGGAGGGGACGAGCCCCCTGCCCTGGCGAGGGTGCAGGGGCTCGCAAGAGGCTCTGCCTCTCTTGGAGGCACGTATCTTGAAACACTGGAATTAAAGAAAAGTCAACGTTTACTTGAATTACATAGAGAACAGTTAAAGCCAAAATGCTGGAAACTGGGGTTTGCATTTCCAGGGATGGGGAGAAAATGCCCTGGGCCTGAGAAGCGGGCTGAAAAGAGACAAGGTGGTGGCTGTCGGTACGTAACCTCCCATACTGCAGCTCTCCACGTTCAGGCTCTTCTGTAGAACCACACAAAAACCGAACACAACAGTCATTGCTATTTAGGCTTCCTGCACCCCTCTCTTCTGGGAATTCAATACTGAAGCTTAAACCAAAATCTTTATGAATAAGCAAATAAAAAAAAAATACCTGAACGCACACACAGATGAGGGACCGTAGGGGTTTCGTTGTTTTGTTTTTTTTTTCAGTAGCAGCTGTGGTGCTTTGCCCAACCTTCTTTCAGTCAGAAGGTTCTGCATTGTGGCCTGAAGTCTGGCCTAGAAAAAAAAAAGACTAGCTTCCTTTGGATGTTTCATCCTTTGGATGAAAAACTGGATGTTTTTCTGTGGGAATGGGAATTCACTTTATTACTTGCTCTGTAACAGAGAGCCTGGCACTGCTGTGGGAGGGAATTTCTCTTTCTCCACCGAGACCATGCAGTGTAACCAGGGACGCAGAATAGCTTTCATCCTTGAATACAGAACTAAAGATACATGTTTGCTTTGAATCCAGGAGGAGGCTAATTGCACAGAGCTTGCAGGCAATCTGTAGGACCTATTGATCAGTTGACTGAAATATTGATGAGTACCTGCTGCATGCGTTTTCATTGCTGCCTAATGGAAAGATTAGAAAACTCATGTTCATCATCTTGGAAGCGTGTTCGCCCTGTCATACCCAAACACAAGGCAGTGAGGTTTTGTGCAAAAAATCTCTGGACACTGGGGAAGGAGAGATGGAATTTCAAGCTCTAATCTAGTTACAATTTACATGTGGAAACAGTCACATGTTTTCTGCAGTGATATTTAAACATGACATCTTCATCTAATGATGTGCTTCTGCCTTCCTATGCATTGCCCCCTTGTTTTTCTTTTTGGGAAAAGTGCAGAACTTGTTTCCTCTCCCCTTTGCTTCTTTGTACCACCACTTTGTGTCTTTGCCGTCCATGGGTCTGTCTTTGCTTGACTTTCATGGCTTTCTACGCCAACGTCAGGATGGATGTTTGCCGCCTTCCTGGTCGAATTCAGTGCCCCTCTTTCAGCGGTGATGGTAGCCCTTCAGTTCCCTGTGCTTTGGTGCAAAATACTTTATATTTCATGTTTAATAGTTTTGTATCGTTCTTATGTTTCTGAAGATATTCTGGAAATTATTTATAACAAATCTACTTCAGTCAAGTCCCCTCCCCGAAGTTACAGGCGTCTAATTCCCTTTTGATTGCCCTGACATCCACGTTGCACATACAGGTAAGATGTATGACCTACAGGAGAGCTTTACCCCTTCAGAGTGGCCTCTGGAGGCGAGACAGGCTGTAGTATTACTTCAGATGTCCCAAGACTGGACAAGTGAGTGTCATCCTTAACGTTGTACTGAAGTCACAAGCTACGTAACATTTTCAATTTCTTGATTTAAGGAGTAGCTTTATTGCATGTATATCTTATTTTCATGCATTCAGACAGCTGAGAGTTGTTCAGAATGGCAGTAATAAGAACTGATTGTACAACATATTTCCTAATTTTGTCTTCTGTCCACAGGTCCAGCAAGAACAAAGAAACCACACTGCAGAACCTGTAATTGATGACTATAAAAAGATGGGGACTCTCTTTGGCGAACTAAACAAAAGCCTTATCAGAATAGGCTTCACAAGGATGTACTTCGGAGAACGGATAGTAGAACCTGTAATAATTATATTCTTCTGGGTTATGCTCTGGTTTCTTGGCCTACAAGCTCTTGGACTGGTTGCTGTTCTGTGCCTTGTCATTATTTATGTACAACAGTAAAATTTTATAGATGCTGTTCGGATTATGTATTTCAACACTCCCTACGCCAGTGGATTTATTTGTTTAAGTAAATGGGTGGCACATCAATGCTTCAAACTGCGTTTCGCTGAACTTCCAACGTTCGGGGTGAGGAGGACTAAAATTATGCATTTTAAGCAAAGTCAGCAGTGCCCTACTACATCTTTGAAGGGCAAAAAAGGACATGTTTGTAATATAGAAGTGTCCAGTGTACTGTTTTCTGCACTCTTGGGGCCTTAGTCCAAAGATTGGCTTTTTGTTGACCCCCTCTCCCAATGTTCTTGCTTTGTATAGTGAAAATTTCCTGTCTGATTTTAAGAGGACACTTGATGTGAGTGTCTTGTTTCACTGGGGGGGCGGGCAGAGGGCGCGGGGTTTGTGTGCTGTTTGTTCCCTGAATCTGCATAATTGGCCAGTCTTTTGCTGAAAAGCTAAATCTGCATGAAGGTGGTTTGCTACCAAACCTGCAGTGACTAACGTTCATAAGGTGAATGCAACTTCCCGACACAAAAGCATCTTTGGTTAGTATAGTTTATAGCAAGCTTTCCTCCAGGAAACAAGCTATGCCAGCAAAATGCTTTTGTACTAATATTAGTGACTTCACATAAGGCTTCAGCTGTTGTTTAGGAGGAATCGCAGCCTATATTAGCCAAATGGTCTAATGTAGTTCTGCCTTGTTTTTGGAAATGTACTCAGCTCCTTCTCCTGTTTTTCTTTCTTTTTTTTTTTTATACTTGCTCCTTCCTCCAGCCATCCTTCTGAAGATAAATATTTGGATAATTCATGGACTTTGTAGGTAGTTATAGCTGCGGTGTTGGAGAATTGCCATTCCAGATGGCAATGCTAGAATGTCGTCTACTTCTTCTGGGTCGTGTGTGAAGTGTCTGAACAGCCAGACAGGTATCAGACCTCTTAACGCTTCCCTAGTTCGCTGCAGTGTGGACCCAAGGTGAGCTAGAAGCTTGTGTACATAACGAAATCAGACCTGTTTCCTCATGCAGGGCAAGAATGTAGTTGAAATCAGATGGTCGTTTTCTTGAGTAGTCTTAACTGATTCATTTCCATGTTAGGCAACAAAAATGCGTATCTGTAGGTGCAACGTCACGGGCAACACACGTGGGAGAATAGGATATATACGTTTAAGCGTAGCTGCAAAATTCACTCTGGGTCCCCAGGAGCCACACCAGGGGTGTATTGAATATTTCCAAGTTGAATGTGCTCATTTAAAGAGAAACAGTAAAATGAGGCAGAATCTTTACTACCAGTTTAATATTTGCTGTACCTTACTTTTAGTAAGAAACTTAATTGCAAAATAGGCTTAGTTGCAAAATAGGCTTCATTCTTCATAGGTGGAATGAAATTATACATTCACTTAAAGAAACATAACAGAAGATGTGAAATTTACAGAAAACTACTTAACTTTTTGCAGTGACTTTTTTTCTAAACATTTTTATACTAGCAGAGATCAACAATAGATTAGTTGAAAATACTTGTCTTAGCCGGAGACCTTTGAAGTTAGAGAGGAGCTTCTCTATGGTCCCAGTTCTGCAACTGGATTCTCAAGGCCGAATTTGTGCCTACACGGATTACGTTGGTTGCTGGGCTCTATTTCCAGGACCCTTGACCCCAATCCTTACAGACTTTCCTATTAGTGAAATAATTGTTATTTGGGGCAGTGAACATGAAAGCCCGGCTCCTTCAAAGTCTTTACGTGCCTAAATCCCATCTGTAGACATGTCTCTGCTTTTCTGATGAACATGTGATTACCTTCTGAGGAGCCAGGTCTCCTCTCCAGATCTTCAGATGACCTTGACTGTGGACCCGAGAGGCTCCGCTGAGCCAGCAGGACTGTGGGGGAGCGGGACCGAGGCCCTGCTGTGTGGTTAGATGGCAACCTGTGTGTTGATTGACACCTGGTTAAATAGTTGTGCTGATGGCAGGGAAACATTTGACAACAGAAGGTGTTCCTGGATACAGGGCTTTGTTATTCACGGCTGGAAGTCCCAAAGCAAACAGCAGGTGCAGGCTGAACTCCGAGGCAGGAGCTCTGTACTCACAAGTGCCTAGGGGTAAACTTTAGTTTTGTTTCAAGTCCCTTAGAAAGCAGAAGATCTGTTTACACCTTTGCATATTTGTATAGATATAACGGTGGGTTTATGTGTATTCTTCTCCTGTATAAGGGCTGTACTACAAAAGCATCTTGTCATTAAAAAAAAAAAATACTTCCTTCCCACAATTGGGTTACTGTTCAGAGGATCTTTTCCAGTTCCTTTTGTCCTGTAGGAAAAAGTGTCTCTGTGATACCCTTGTTGCAGCAGCGCTCTTGTATAAAGACACTGTGCTGTGAGATGGCATGAAGTGGTGATTTTGCTCTGTACATAAAGGAATGGGGAACAATGAACCAGGGGTGTGACTGACGAGTTCAGTAAGGACATCTTTTATATGCATGTAACCTTTTAGCAAGTGCAAAGCTATGACTGTTTCACTCATGAAGTTATTTCAGGTGTTCTTTTGGTGTTCTTGTTTGCATACATGTAGTCTAGGGAAAGGGAGCTTTTGGACTAAGATTGTGTACAGTGAATGTTTTTCTATGGTTTTTCTTAAGGGTAACTTACTACATCTTGTCCTTCATAGAAGTTTTTCATTTTTAAAAACCTGAAAAAGTAGCCCTCCTACTGGAGTTAGGTTGACTGACAATGGAAAAAGAAAAAGAATGTATTGCTTGGAAGATACTCCTCACCTGTTGGGTTTCATACATTCCATTCTATGTAAGAATTTGCACCAAATCATATGGCTTATAGCACAATTGCTGTACTATTTCCCTGTCATTTGCAGGAAAGGAAAGAGGAGTTAAAGAAAAAAGGGGACTGGGATAGAATCAGACAAACAGTGGAAAATGGAATGTGGTGAAATGTTGCGTATATGTGTCAAAAGAAATCTGATCATAAACATGTGCCACAAGTGAGGGAGGAACAGGTGAACAGTCCATGCACTGTGTTCTTCCTCCCACCCAGATGTAGTTCCAAGGCAGAGGGAGCACCAAGTGTTCAAAGGATGTCTCTGTTATTTAAAAGAAGACAGTTTCACTGTTGTCTATATAGTAAAAATTGAGAATGTTATTTATATTGATATATACGATTATTATTCTTGGTAGAACTGAAAGCACCTTTATGTATCTGTGTGTAGGACTGTATGAAGGAATTAAGTCCCTTAAATCTGTGTTAAACAACAAATGATGTAATTCCTGTTGGTCAGTGTAATGTATTGAAAGCTTTTTACATAACCTCTGTTTTTTAAAGGATGGACTGTTCAGTAATGTTTCACACCTGCCAAATGCATCTGTGTACAGAGAAGAAACTCTACATGTAGGAGAATCTTGGAGAACCCTGTTTGCACTGAAAAATCATCACATCAAAACTGTCCATATAAAAAGGAAAAATCCTGTTTCTTAAAAACTCTGTAATAAATGAATCCTATGGAAAGCACTTTGTTACTCTTTCTAATAAAAAGTATTGCCATCAATGAGAACTGTGAATTCTTTGTGGTGCTTTGTTCAAGTTTACTTGACTCCTTTCAAAATTTCATGGTAGGCCTAGATGAAATGGGACAGCGTTCAGGTACCCACTGCAATCGGTTAACTTGGACCTGGTGGAGAAGTAACTGCAGTACAAGAGCTGAATAAACTGCATCAGGTCTCTGGTTGAGTGTGCAGCAAGTTACGCTGAATTTAAAACAAAAAAAAATTGTAGAGCTAGATGTTAACAAATAATGGCAACATTATGGAGTAAAGTAGCTTCTATTTCACAGCATATTTATTTTGCATTCAGGGCAGTCTCTGAAGGAACCAGATGTGGTCAGGGGTGTGAAAAATCCTTGAAAGTGACAATTGCTGTGCTACAGAAAGGTTTGGGAGTTTTCGTTTGTGTTTTTAAATATGCATAGAACAGCATATGGTTCAAAACAAATCCACTTCAAACTGTTCATTCTTTTTTTTTTCTGCAGGTCAGAGGGGCTTTCCTTCTGCCACATCCAACAGACACTTAAATGTTAGTGTTGCTCAGGCTGCACAGTGAGTTAAGCAGCATAGGTTTTCTAAAAGTAGCAAAGTTGAATATTGGTCCTTCAAACTCATGTTGGTGGTTGTGCACAAAGTGAGTAAGGCTCATTGCTTGAATAAATTCAAGCCTTCAGATTTTATCTCCGGTAAAGTATCTTGGTCAGGCCTTTTACAGGGTGCATGCAAATTCAAGAACAACCTGGCTTTGACTCTGTTTGATTCTGTCTGTCTCTGTGCCAATCGTTTGGGCTTTTTCATCATTCAGTCTTCTTAAAAGCTACCTAGGCAAAGGACCTATTTTCAGCTAGGTATTTCGTTTGGGTTACTGTGTGCTTGCTTAAAATCACAGGGGAGGAAATTAGAGCATTAAAAAAAACCCCACCATGCATATGCTTCTTTTTTTACAGTGCTTATCGGTTGTTTTAGATGATGGTTACCAAACTGCAACTTGCAGTCACCAAAGGTCCAAGAGAGTGTTACAGACAAGTAGGGTAAACAAATGTTGGTAGATCGGCACTAGGATTTTGAGAATAGATAGATGGGTCAAGCAGCATGTGGTTTAGGGTTGTTTCAACATTATACAGGCAGGTAGACTGCTAATTTCCCTTAACTCCTGCCAACACCTCAGTTTCTTCCAAGAATGTCTCCAAATGCATATAAAATCATCAGTATTCTTACTGCAGTCACTCTGAAGAAACTGAGCTTTCATCAGCTGTGTTTTACACAGAGAAACCAAAAGAGGATGAGAATGGGAAAGGGGAATTGGACTTAAAACTGTTTTTAACTTGTGTGTAAGCTTGTGGTCTTCAAATTTTAGTCTTGTACTATCCAGATAATGTTCTTGTGTCTTGTGTGCCGTTGCAAAAGTCTTTATATCAGCGCCAGCCTATATGTATTTTTGAGTTAATACAGAAGTGAAGCAGCT